CTCTGAAAGCACCCATGAGAAGAGACAACTTTAAACATTTGTCATGGCCAGACCAGAGAAAACTACAAGATCGGCATCAGTGAGGTAAGAACTCTTCTGCTCCCCTTGCCTCTTTCTCCTTGATATCTTCCAACCCTGTGGGTATCTGCAAATGTAAGTAGCAAGATATGGAAGTAGGACTAGAAGTGCAAAGTGAGGAGAGATTAAAAGCCCCCTCTGTCCCACTGTAGGCAGTTAAAGTGGAAATGTCTCAGACTGGGAAAAATTTAGCTATTAACTTTCAGAGGAACTGAGTCAATAATCAATGAACCCCTGGCTTTGAGAAGCCTGTGGATAGAAATCAGGGGTTTCAAGAACTTGAATGGGAAAAAAATAGTTATGCATATGTCTTCATGGGCTTCTAACTGAAATGTAGCCTCTCCTTTAATTATGAATGCAGGCAACACGACACAGTAATATTGGCAGTACCTGTGCAGAAAAGAGTTAACGTAGTAGGTCTGAGACTGCTATCCTTAAGATGGCCTGCTCAGAAGGTTAGTTTTTGGCTGGCATCTGGGAACTTCAATTTTGAGAGTGTTCTCAACCTTCCCTAACTCATAGGGGCGACTCACTGTGCCTGGACAGTTTGTGCAAACAACATAGTTCACACCGAGCACCTACTTCCTTTTTGTGTGTCTGGAATTTTGGTACGTGCTAGGTAGAGGGTACCTACGTGACCAGCTCTCTATAAAAGCCCTAAGGGTGGAATCTAAAAAGGGTTTCCCTGAGCAGAAATAATCACACACATGTTGCTGAGTTTTTATTGCTGGGGAAAGAGTATATCCTTTGTGACCCCTCATGGGAGGAAGAGACTGTAAAGTGGCCTGCATATGGAGGCCTGTGTGTTTTCTCCCTATGACCCAGCCTTATACTCTTAGTATATCGCCATAATGTACAACTGTGAGTACAAGTACCTGTGGAGTGCTGTGAGACGTTTTAGCAAATATCTGAATACGAGAGTGGTCTTGGGAACAATGACACAATGGTGGCAGTGGTAAGATTTGCTAGAATGACCTCAATTCACTGAAATCTAGCTGCAGTATTATTTGGGGAAAAGAAAGAGAGAAGGGCAGGGAATTATGAAATCCTGGTACTTGGGTGGCTATGGAGTTAACCATAATATGAAACAGCAACTGAGCTGCTGTCTGTGATCAGACGTAAAAAGTTACCTATTGAATTTGGAAAGGGTAGATTCATCCCAGGAGGGCTGGCTCTCTGGATCTGCTAGGTGCTTTTGACCATACAGAGTTGGCTCTGCTGAAGTAAGTGGGGCGAGGTGGGATAGGAAATAGTAGCCTAGCCTAGGTGATGATAGCTTTGTTTTTTTGTAGTCTCTCCCCCTCCCTAACACCCTCGCAGGAGGAAAAAGGGCCCAAACATTCTGTACAATGGGCTTTGGATGTGCCAAATATCATAAAATATAGCTTATAGTTGTTCTCGCCTCCAAGTAGAGAGAAAAAAAGAATTAAGTCTGTTTCCAGGGCTGGAGCAAGGATTTAGATAAAGCAGAAGAGAAAGAAAGAAAGAAAGAAAGAAAGAAAGAAAGAAAGAAAGAAAGAAAGAAAGAAAAGAAAGAAAGAAAGAAGAAAGAAAGAAAGAAGGGAGGGAGGGAGGGGAGGGAGGGAGGGAGGGAGGGAGGGAAGGAAGGAAGGAGAGAGAGAGAGAGGGAGGGAGGGAGGGAGGGAGGGAAGGAAGAAAGGAAGGAAGAGAGAAAGGGAGAGAGAGAAAGGGAGGAAGGGAGAAAGGGAGGAAGGGAGAAAGGGAGGAAGGGAGGAAGAGAGGAAAGGAGGGAGAAAGGGAGCAAGGGAAGGAGGGAGGGAGGGAGGGAAAAAGGAAGGGAGGGAAACCCACTTAGCTATTTCTTCAGCCTGGCTGCTGCTGCTCCCCTCCCTTTCCCTTCCATCCCAGCTGGGTTCTCCTGGCAGCTGTGATGTGAACTCTGTAAATGGAAAATTTACTGCTAGGGATTTTAGTAAACTCGTAATAAGAAAAAAACAGGAATTTTAATTCACAGCTTTGCATTTGTGGCTATTACATGTGGATGTCTGATGAAAATTGATGTGCAATGTTATGTGCTTATAATTTCATAAATGCTAGAAGGGTCATCTCAATCAGGAAAAGCTGCAAAGGAAAAAAAAAGTGTTAATGAAACACAGCTCCCTTGCTTTTTTGCCACAGGTGGGCAGATTGGAATTTATACTCTTGGTATTGGAAACAAGGCTCAATAATGGATAATTTATTTTATTTTATTTGCCAAAATTATGCCTACTGGAGCCTCTGGAAAAGGGAGCCAATCTCCAAATGAAGACACACTTTTGGGGTTTTCAAAGCAGGTTTCAGGGGTTAGGGAGTTGTGGGGTTTTGTTTGCTTTTGCCAATAAGCTCTTGTTAAATCAGATTTCTGACCCTTAGAGGCTGCTGATTTTCTAGCCTGACATGCATATTTTTGCGTGGGTCAGTTTGAACAATCTGGCCTAACAGGGTAAAAAGTCCTTAGGAACAGCCTTGCCTGTTACTTGGACTTGAAACACAGGTATCTGGCCTACAGCGTCTTAGCTTTGCTGCTGCTGCTGAAGAAAAGCCTCTAGCTTTTTTGAATACTGAATTCACAGATCCTAATTCCCTGGACCTGACTGAAACCTGATACTGCCGGTTATAGCCTGTTTCAGTTTCAGCACTGAGCTGTGCTGAACTGAAAGTCCACACAAGCTCAATGAACAGAGCTCAGTCTCTGGAACTGCCACAAATTTAAGACATCCCTGCGGGGTCACAGCTATAAAACATCATGGATGCTAGCTGACCATCTGGGTCACCTGCAGATGCCCTAGAGAAAAAGGCTTGTTCTCTGATGGGACCATTAGAAATGGAGCTGCTGATGGACTCGATATTTCTGATATGGGATACAAGAGCCTGATTGCGTTCCTAACTTGTGATTCTAGCCGAAGGCTGCAATTTAGGAAGGGGCACACCACAGGGTATGTGACCCCTCTGCCCACCCCTGATAGATCAGACTCTCAGGGACGTCTCATGGCTATTGACTTATGTTCCACTTTCCAGGTTAGTTGCAGTTTGCAACAATGGACTGATAGCCTGCCTTTACTTCCCTTGCCTTTCTCCTGTTGTACACACCTTAGTAAGGCAGTTTGATCATCCAATGCAGCGTCCTCAGAAAAGGATTGATTTTTGCTAGGTGTTCACTAAATAAATGATCACGGAAAAAGGCATGGGGGGTGGTAGGTAAACCCATTTTGAAAAAATATTGAAAATCAGGATTTTGCCCTGACCGCTTCCTGAACATGAAGTGTCTTTCTGGTTAAGTTGTATTAAAATGTTACTCTGTGAAAATGCTTCTGTCCCCCTTACACGCAATCCTTCCGGAAGGTCTGGGTGAAAAAAGAAGTGATTAGGAAAATTTGTAAAGCTGGGATTATTGAATGGGACACATTGATTTTGTAACAGTCGAGAAAAACAACCCTGACACCTGGGAAGGCTCAGGGGAGGAGGTAGGGCATTCATGATTTTTGCTTTCTGGAACTGCTTCTGGAAGCTTTCCCCTCTTTTCGAAGAAAACTCTTGTGCTGCTTTTGCAAGTGCTGCAGGCGCTTTGGACTCAGACCAAGGGCTGAGCCTAGATGGCACGGGACAGCGTGACTATGAGCTGGCAGCAGAGGGCCAGCTTCCCCTGCATGTCCCCGCAGAACGTGTCCAGATGCCATCTACACTCACCAGGCAGATGAAGTAGTGTCAGTGACAGAACTATTTGAGACTGACAGCCCCAGGCAGCCCCTCTAAAACCGGGGCTGACCTGAATTACTTTCACTGGACTGAATACCTTGGGGCAGGAGGCTCCTCGGTGGGAGGCCACACTGGGGGCTGCCTGACCGATGCATATCCTGCTGGGGTGCCCTAACATTTTTAACTCTTTGTTTCCAGGGGACCACATGAGCCCTCAGGGATTATGTGTGTGTGTGTGTGTGTGTGTGTGTGTGCTGTGACTATCATGACGCTTTCTTCAGCCCTACTGCATTCCTCTGAGAGCCTGATTTCGAGAAAATGTCCATAGGATTCAACAGACTGCCAAAGGGGTCTGCACAAAAGGAAGTTTAAGACTTCCTGCAATGGGTTATTACCCTAGACTAGATATACTCATTAATAACAGGCAATTTATTGCCCATAAACAAATAGACATATAGTAGCCTAAATTTTATCTGGAGACAAAGAAAAACTAGTTCTATGGATGATAATTAAAGGGGCAGCAGGAGTCAACAATAAAGTTGCTTTGTGATTTCATGCCATGCTTGTTCAATATACCAGTTACAAACATAATGTATCTAAAAGATGAAGCATAATTAGTGGTTTTATAATGATGTTGAGCTTTGTGGAACTATAACCCCTCGTTATAGAATGTATGTTCCTTGTGAAACTTTAAATCCATAACTGTGCACAAAAAAGATACCCCAAAAAGCTGAAAATCTCTTTCACTTCCACGTGTCTTTATAATTACAGATTGCTTCTTGACTCCAGTTGGATGCAAACGCAGTCTTCCATACAGCTGATGGAAGTGGAAATGAAGATAGAGCAAAGTGACCTGCCACTGATACTGGCACATAATTACATTCAATGTCATGATGTTACTTCCAAAGATACTTTTTGCTTATGTTGGCTAGTTTTAATAGTTTTTGAAGCCTTACTTAAACCCTGCTGAAACCTTTTTCAATCAAGTTAATGGTTAAGACTTTAAAATTTATTATAACAATATGTACAAATTTGATTTGAGTAGGTTCCCTGAAATTGCTACACTTGTGAAAATAGCTTATTATAGTAGTACCCTGCTATTTTTAAAAAGATGTACAGAGATATGTTACCTGTTGGCAAATGTCTTCTTTAACTATGGAACAGAGAAATTTATAACTGTCTGGAATAAAAGTATTTCTTTAATTGAATACAAAATACTCTGCATGTAAAAATAATAAGAAAGTTTATTTTAAAATATTTTACACTCTTTTGCCCACAGCTCTTTATTCTTCCCTCATGGTGAACTGCAGTACTGCATTTGTGTGGCCCACAGGCCTTTACAACTTTGTACAAAGCATTTCCAGCATCATATCATCCATGCTGACTGTGCCAATGATGGGCCTGAAGAACAGTTCAGCAATGACATTGGCATTGATGAATCTCAGCAGGAAAAGGGTACTATTCAGTTCGATGAATCTGTCATGGGGCCCTTGGTGCGTCATCCTGGCGTGTTCACTGAGTATCTGCTGAGTTCCCCACTGGAGTCCCTGAATGTACTTCACGCACTGCAGGCCCGGCACGTCTGGAGGGAGAAAAATCTTTGTTATAAAACAGCTCACCACAGAGTCCTTAGATAGCTTTTTAAAAATGCCCATTTCTGTTTCGTCCCAATTAAAAAAGACCCCAAGCTTCCTGGTTAAAAGGGTAAAATGTCAAACCAGTCTAAGTTTTCAGAAGCAACATGTCCAAGAATGAAACATCATGTGATCATTCTTACTTAATATTCACTATGTTTGTATGCACACGTTTGCAAATACACTGGCCATGAGCCAACAAATGCACACAATTTAATATGACAGTAGAATATAGTTTAATGAATCATCATTCCAGTTCACTTTCTATGCAAATATGAAGAAGTTCATGATATTTCAAGAGGTGGGCACTTTACCTATGAGAAACAAGCCATGAGAAACAAGAAGCGTTGCCAGATGGCAAATGCTTTTACCGTTCTTCTTTGAACTTCCCACCATTATACTGATGGTTCAGCCAATGGTGGTAAACTTCACAGCCACAAACTTTGACACACAGTTTCATTTTACCTATTTGGCTGCAGGCCAATATTAGTCTAGAGGCCCGAATAATTTGAAAGCTAACAATAGCCACTTAGCTCATTGTACCATGATTCCTGTATCGGGGAAGGTTTTGAAAAAAATAAAAGTGATTCTTATGAATATTCGAAAAAGGCTCTTTTCAAAAATATCAGAGTAAGAAGTTTTTGAACATTCTTATAGTCATTAAAAGTTTAAAAAGTAAACATGAAAACATCACGAATTGCACCATGATTCAAAAATAACTTTTGTAATAGAAAACACATGACCTTTTGCAGTATAGTGTGATACCTAAGTAAAAGTGAATGAAATACAATGCAGGAAAGTTTAAGAGCATGTAAGTTTTTATAAGGAAAGTAATAAGAGGAGGCTGCTTTTGAAGGTCCTTTGATCTTCCATGATAATAATATCATTGCAAAGTTCTTTAACTTGTATTCAAGTAATTAGCAGTTGACCACTTGGTTTAAATGATGCTAATGATGATTGTAATCATTTTCCTCCCCTTTTCCTAAAAAATTCAATGGAAAAGTATTTTAAAAGCACCATGCCAATCATCACAGAGCAGCAGAACCGGTGTTCTTAAAAAAAAATATTAATGGTAATAGGCGAGAGGCACTCCTATTACAGGCAAATATCAAATCTCATAAATAAAATAAGAACAAAATTAAAGCAAGAATTTTAATCCATATTCCAATTCTGATTACCCTAGTTCACACATTATCATCCCCTACTACCTACCACTTGAGATCCAGGCTTAAGACCCAATTTCGCTTTGTTTGAATTCCATCGACGAAAGTAGGAAGAGGCTTGCATGAAACTCCACCAGAAATCTGAAGCTTCTCTAGGTCTAGATTCATGACTTGTGGAAACTTCATCTTGTGAATGCCACATTACTTCTCTTTGTGTTCACAATATACCCCTTTACCTTCTCCCCACCCAAGTGGTTCCCCCCAACACAGACACACACAAACTGGCCTTCAAAATAAGGTCAGGGAAGAGAAAACGCAAATGGACTCCACAGTTTTATATCTCCTTAAGTTTGAACCCATATATATATATATATATATATATATATGTATATATATATATTTAATATATTTAAATTTATTATATGGGATATACAAAAGACAACCTATATATATTTAATATATTTAATATATTAATATATATTTATTTAATATATATTTATTTAATATATATTTATATATTAACATATTTAATATATTTTATATAATATATATTTTATATTTATTTAATATATATATTTATTTAATATATATTTAATATATAAAATATATTTAATAAATATATTTAATATTTAAATTTATTATATGGGATATACAAAAGACAAACAGCAAAGAGAGGCCACACTCTCAATAGGTGTTACCTTTCTCCCCAATATAGGTACATTTGAGTTTCAAACACACTCAGCTTAGCTGGTTAAACTCATACTGAGAAAGGATTAGGAAAAGTCAATCAAGAACAAGGAAGAAGTGTGCGCGTGTGTGTGTGTGTGTTTGGTGGGATAATAATTCGTTCAAACCTCACGTTTCATGACATAGAGACCTCAGCTCACCCCAGTGTCTATTATATGTTACCTTTTTGCTTATACCATTGTTTTCCAGACTTGCCTGTGCATAAGAAGTACTTGTGTGTGTAGTTGGGGGTGGGAGGGAGTAGATAAAAGTCTTTCTAGGCTCCTGCCTTATAGATTCTGATGCAGTAGCTCTAGCCCAGTGTCTGCAAATCTGCATTCATAATAAGGGTCACAGATGATTCTCAAGATAATTTGGAAAACAGTCTTCTTATTCCTTCAGCTAGTATTATTAATCATCCACTACGTTCCTTGTCCTGTTGGGATATAAAGGTGAAAAGGGCTAACCTTCCAGAAATTTACATTCCATTAGTTTCAGTATCAATAGTTTCCCTCCTTCCCTTGACCCTGTTTTATATACTTTTAACACACACACACACACAGACACACACACACGCGCGCGCACACTTCTTCCTTGTTCTTGATTGACTTTTCCTAATCCTTTCTCAGTATGAGTTTAACCAGCTAAGGTGAGTGTGTTTGAAACTCAAATGTACCTATATTGGGGAGAAGGGTAACGCCTATTGAGAGTGTGGCCTTTCTTTGCTGTTTGTCTTTTGTATATCCCATATAATAAATTTAAATATATTAAATATATATATTAAATATATTAATATATATTATGCACTCTCAAAAATGCTAGACAGGGGGCCAGGACATAATCAGAGATTCCAGCACCAGGGAAAAAAGATACAAAAGGAGCATTATGGAAACTATCCCAACTCAAGTTGCCTGGAAAATTTTTTTCCACTTCAATCATTTCAAAAGGACGCTAGTTGAAGATGATTCTAGCAGAGAGAAACACCCAAGACAAGGTGCCTGGCTGTCCAGGGAGATGTTCCCCCAGTGATTTGGTTGCACCCTGTGGGACAGTGTGTCCTGCACCCAACAGACAACCTGAAAGTTTGGTGCAGCCGACATCCCACAGGGCCCAGAAGGTAGGACCTCAGGTGCCACAACACACCAGCCATTTACTTTGGAGTAAGGTCACTTGGGACCTTGGGACACATCCACCTACACAGTAAAATGCGGTGGGGGAAGGTTACAGAGCAAAGGGGGTTGATTAGGAGGTCTCTAAAGTCTCTTTGAATTCTAAAATACAGTGTTCCTGCTCTCAGTCCCTAAAGTGACTTTTTTTTTTTCTTATCCCTTTGCCAACCTGTTATTCTTCACAGAGATTTGGAGGAAGGGATAGTCCAGATGCTTAGGACCATACAAATAACCATTCAGAGGCAGGCCCATGAAACACTACATCCAGTGTACTGTCTGACAGTGTCCCTAGGGAATAGTCTCTCTATGGGACCCTTTAACAAATGTTTCCTTTTTTGCTAGCCTTAATAGATCTCCTCCCCCCAAAAAAGGTTCTAGTAAATTTCAGAATGGAGTTTCAGAAATCGATGTTGCAGAATCTTCAGTGAGCAGAAACTTTTTTTAGAAAAAGATATGCTCTGGACTTCAAAGAAAGCTAAAGAAAGAATAACCATTTCCCATGAAGGCACAAACTTTTCTGTAGTAAGAAACGTGTAAAGAGCTAAGTACAAACCTAAACAAACAACTCCCCTCCTCTTGGCTGAGTTTCTGACAGCAGCCCACCCAGGAGAAGTGGTTCCTGGAGCCCCCCCACCCCAACTCTGCTGAGTTAGTCATGATTTCTTCACCTTTTTCCCGACACTCTCCTGATCACTGAAAACTCCTTACTGACCGCGCCCCTAGATAGGCACTGCCTGATGCTTTTGTGAGCTGGGAAAAGCCGGCGCCCAAGGCCAGTACCCTTACCCGGGTTAAAGAGCACGGTCCCCTTGAGGTAGGCGTACTCCTTGGTACTGATGTTCAGACTCCAGCACTTGGAAAGAAAGCACTTGATGGCTTGGACCTGGGAGGCGGAGGGCACCTTCCTGGCCTCCGCCGGCGGTGCCAAATGGGGCTGCAGCATGGACACGGGCAGTGGCTCGTCGCCCCCGGTCTCCCGCCGCCTGGTGGTGAGGATCTTCTGCAGCATGCTGGGCTCCGAGACTTCTACAGTCTCGAACTGCAAGCGGTCCTGGGCCAGCTCAAGCATGAGCAGGGACGCCCAGCAGTTGCGCACCAGCACCAGCTGCTGGTCCAGGGGCAGCACCTGGAAGCAGGGCAAGTACTTGACGAAGCGCAGCGTCTTCAACAGGCCAGCTGAGGCTGCCTCGCAGACCACCTGTGGACTCTTGAGCGCCACTGGCCGCAGCGCACCAGAGGAGGTGTCCCACCAGGGGGCCCTCGGCCGCTCCTCCGGAACCGCCTGCACTTGATTTGTGCTCGTGGGCATGCAGTAGAGGGTGCTGCCCTGCTGCGGGTGGTCTTCACCGCAAAAGCAGCAGCGGTACAGAAGCCCCATGGCCCGCCCGCCTGCTAGCGCCTCTCTACCCCCTGGCCTCTGCGCGAAGTAGGAGCGGTCCCACCACGCGCCCACTGGCCGTGCCTCGGGCGCTGCCGGAGCCACGTGCGTTTGCTTTGCGCTAGTGAGCAAGCTGTAGAGGATGCTGCCCTGCCGCGGGTGGTCTTCACCACAAAAGCAGCAGCGGTACAGGAGTGCCACGGGCCGCCCACCCGGAAGCCCCGCTCTGCCCACCCCGGGATCAGAGCCGCACGAACAGCCCCAGCACGGACCCAGCGTCGCCTCGGGCGCCTTCGGTGCCGCGTACGTTTGCTTTGCGCTCGTGAGCATGCTGTAGAGGATGCTGCCCTGCCGTGGGTGGTCTTTACCGCAAAAGCAGCAGCGGTACAGGAGCGACACGTTCCGCCCGCCCAGCAGCCCCTCTCTGCCCACCCCGGGCTCATCGCCGCACGAACAGCCCCAGCACTGATCCACCAGCCGCGTCTCTGGAGCCTCAGGAGCCGCGCGCGTTTGCTTCGCGCTCATAAGCATGTTGTAGAGGATGCTGCCCTGCCACTGGTGGTTCTCGCCCGCCATGGCCCGCGGCTCCCGCAGCCCGGTTCTGCCCAGTGGCTGCCTCCTGGGACCTATTTATACCTAGCGCGCACGCAGGCGCGTCGGCCGCCTCGGTCTGGGCAAGGGCGCGGAGGCGGGCAGGGGGGGCGCGGTGCTGCGCTCCGGTGTATTCGCCCGTGACCTCGGTGGTTCGAAGGGGCGGGTGTTCTTTAAAAGCTGAAAATGGAAGAGGAACAGCAGCGTGGGAGCTCCTGGACACTTCCCTCCTTCCTCTCATTACCCCTTTCCCTGTCTCTCAGGAAGACCGGAGGAGAGCGAGCGCCTGGATGCTGTTGCAACTCTTTCCATTGAACCCTCGCATCTAATTTGTTCCCTTTATTGGGAGGGTAGGGGAAAAGAGGAAACATCTACTTCTATGCTCTTTGTAAACTTTCATTAAATTATCACAGTTTGTGAGACTCATATTTGTATATGGATAGAGAGGTCTCATTTTCTGAGACCTTGAAAAATACAGAACATAGACAAACATTATATGGGAACTCGGTGGAAATGCCCAATGTCAGGCTCCAACCAGACTTTCGAACTCTGAATCTGCATTTTAACGGTGTCCCCAGGGATTCACATGCACCTTGACGTTTGAAAAGCACTGGTCTAAATATGCTAGCATAAGCGCTCAGTTTAATTCCATCAGTATTTATAAGCGCCCACTATGTCCTGGATGCTGTGTTAAGAGAGCTGGGGGCAGTGAGCAGAATGTAAAAGTGCCTAAAACTTAGGAATATAATAATCACGAGGGGATAATATTGTTACAGTGAGAATCGTTTTCATTTTAGTATATGTTTTTTTTTTTTTCTTTTAACTTTTAGGTTCAGGAGTATATGTGAGGGTTGTTATATAAGTCAATTGCTTGTCGTGGGGGTTTGGTGTACAGATTATTTCGTCACCCAGGTAATATAGTATCCAATAGGTATTTTTTCTCATTCTCTCCCTCTTCCCACCCTCCACCTTCAAGTAGGTTCCAGTGTCTGTTGTTCCCCTCCTAGTGTCCATGTGATTGTGATCTCTTTATTTAGCTCCCACTTAAAAGTGAGAACATGTGATAATTTGGTTTTCTGTTTCCGCGTTATTTCGCTAAGGATAATGGCCGCCAGCTCTCATTCTTTTTCATGGCTGCAGCGAGAAATTTTGATCCTTGTAAAAGTATTCCATTGGTAAGTGTGTAATTAGCATTTCTTTCCCCACCCTTCCTAAGTGAATCATGATAAATACAAGCATCAGGAAGCCTGGATCCATTGGTCTTCACTTGCCACACAGCTGTGAAGACATGGGGCAGGGAAGGGTATTGGTATATACCAGCTGGTGTAGAATCATTTTTACTTTTTCCCTCCCTCCCATCCTCCCTCTTTCTGTTTTTGCTTTGTTCCTTCCTTCCTTCCTTCCTTCCTTCCTTCCTTCCTTCCTTCCTTCCTTCCTTCCTTCCTTCTTCCCTCTCTCACTCCTTCTCTCTCTCTTTCTTTCTCTTTTTCTTCTTCTCCAGGACCTGGAATTCTCAGCATAAGAGGAAAACCTAGGAGACCCCCATTTTGCTTGCAGGGTGAAATTTTATTCTGCCTGCCAGAGGCCCTAAATAACACAGTGGTTAAATCCCTGGAACTAGCACTAGATCGCCTCAGTTTTAATCCTCGCCCTGCCACTTTGTAGCATCGTAACCTTGGGCAATGTATTAGTTTCCTTGTTGCTGCTTTGCTTACCACAAATGTAGTGGCTTAAATCAACACAAACAACACAGATTTTTTATGTTATAATTCTGGAAGCCAGAAGTCTGAAATCAGTTTCACTGAGCTAAAATCAGGGTGACATTTCTTCTGGAAGCTGTAGGAAAGAATCTATTTCCTTGCTTATTCTAGCTTCTTGAAGCTGCCTAAGCTCCTTAACATCTGATCACTTAACTCTGGCCTCTGCTTCCATCCCCTTCTCTGATTCTTATAAGAATCTTTGTGATTATAATGGACCCACTCAGATAATCCAAGATAGTATCTCTATCCAAAAATTCTTAACTTGATCACATATGCAAAGGCCTTTTCATTCCATAAGTTAACAAATGCACAGGTTCTAAGGGTTAGGGCATGGACATCTTTGGACATTATTGAGCCTATTACAGGAAAGTTACTTAAGCTGTTTGTGCCTCAGTTTCTTCATTTGTCAAACATGCACAACAGTGTCTGTGAGGTAATTTTTATACATGGGTTAATTTGCGTAAAGTGTTTATAATAATGTTTGTTACATGGTAAGTGGTGGATGTATCAACCATTTTAGGACAATGTGGAATAACTTCAGGGTTAGGAGGTGTTCCTGTACCAGCACTGCCACAATTCTGTCTCTCCTAGGGAAGCCACACACACATAGTTTCCACCCAGAAGATTTTATCCTACTTTTTTGTATGTCCACATTTCTTGGCCCAGACTCTAAACACTGGATGGGTCACCTGGTTCACACAATATTATGTATTGACAATGCTGTTTCATGGGCTATTTCACTATTTGTCATTTCCAGTATTCAAGCTACCGTTTGGGGTATCGTCATTACTGCTTCAGCAGTATTGTGGCAGTCTTCACTCGCCATACAGCCTCAGCCCTCAAGTGCCACACAGGTACTGAGATCAGTGGCTTAATGAACCCACCAACCAGACTAGCTGAAAAACCCAGCTGACCTTAGTCCCTTCCTTATGTTGCCAGAGCTAGTCACGATTTCATTTTCTTCCCAACACCTGATGTGATGTATTTAGTTGTTCGATGCTTACTGATTGTGTCTCCTCCACTAATATAAAAGTCCTCTGAGGGCAAGGAATCTGTCACTCTGTATGGTATCCCAGTAATTAGAATGATTTCTGACACATAGTAGTTGCTCAAAAAATATATTTGTTGGCAAACTGTACCTTGAGAGAGAGAGAAGGCTATGGCTCCTACTGTCAATGTGCAGGCCAAGCACTCCTACCCAGCTATCGCTGCACTGACCCTGGAAGGAGGACAATGTAGTAGGCCTTGTTAGACTCAGCATTTTCTGGAGGCCTGTTTTGCTACTCAGAGTGCTACAAGGACTGTGGTAAAGTAACAGGAAAAGTGGGTTAACAGTCAAAAGACCTGGCCTTGAATTTGGGTTCTTCCACTCTAACGGAATAACATTAAACAAGTCATTTAACTTCACCCTTCTCATTTCTGAAGTGGGGACAAAATTCTATGAACCAATATTAATATGTACACTCTGTTCTAAGTCTGTAAGAGAGTTATTTTGCTTTCTTAACATGGCTGTTTTCAGAAATATTTGCTGACTCTTCCATTACACTGGGATATAAATAAACAAGTTTACACTCATTTACTTTCTAATGATTTAACTTTGAGCAAAGTATTTAACATTATCTTAGCCTTTTCATCTAGGAAATAAGCAGTGCTATAAACGAGCTTTAATACATGCACCTTGGTCCTGTATCTTTCTAAATTTGTTTCAGCTCATCAACTAGTTTTTTTTAATTCTAGAAACTTAAATCCATTTTCTGTGAGCAATCATTCCCACCTCACACATATCTGATGCCTTTGAATTTTAGGCATTGTCTGAGGTTGAAACTTAAGTGCAGTGCTGAGAACCATGAATTTGTAATATATTAGAAATTATAGTTTCTCTTCTTTCTCATGGGCTGAGTCTTCGGATTTTCTTACTCGTGTTTTCCTTCAAGTTGCGATCTTCTATTTGCCGCTCTGAAGGACCTTCTAGGTTCTCTGGATTGACTTTTTCTAAGAAGAGATTGCCTACTTGTCCTTCACAAGTATTCATCCTTGAAAACGTCACGAGAAAACTGACTTCATCTTTCCACTTTCCATTTGTTTCCCCTGAACAAATAGCTCCTGAAAAACAAAATCGTCCAAACACACCAGAGCAGAGATTTGCACAGATTAATGCCAGCTTGCTGGTTGCTACAGGATTAGTAAAGACAACCTTCTAAGGCAGGCACAACCTTTTTCATTTGATTTGTTCCATGTCCTCAGACCACTGTGACACCTAGACAAAAGGACACTTATCAACTGCACCTGTCATGTGCTGAGTTTGTCCACAACTGCAATTTGGATATTTACACTGACTCATTGTGCGATGACCTTGGCCAGTTGGACACCTGTTCTGCGGAATCCATTATCTGCTCCAACTCAGGGTGGGAGTAAAGCTGCTCTGCCTGCCTGAATGCAACCTTCAACTTCAAAGTAATGCAGTTTTTACTAAACGATGTAGGAGTGAAGTACAGGTGGGGATAAAGCTGGGTAAAACTGTAAAATTGACCTTTTCAAGCTGCTCTTGACCTGGGAAGCCATGGCGATCTGAAACACGATATGAATTTTTAACCTGGGCTTAAAAAAGCTACAATGCCTTCTAATTCAGTTCCTTCAGTAACAAGTGACAGGGAGTAACAATAGTGTTTTCCTTGTTTTTCAAAGTAAATATCAGGTAAACGCTATTGTAGATAAATACTAGCTGATAAAACCAAGTGATCACCTTTTACCTTTCCCTTTCTAAGACCCAGAATGTCTAAAGCTATATTTATGAAAGAATTAATAGGCTTCTGGTGATTCATGAAACCCCTAAAGAAGATCAAATCATTATTCTTTATTTCTTTCGATGTACTACAATGAAGTTAATCAGCTGCATTAGGAGTCACAGAGTTGCTGATCTGGAATTGTGACTCTAATAGTTACTGTAATCCTGAAATGTTCGAAAATAAACTTTCGAAATCAGTCAAACAACCACTTTGTTCAAGGAAAAATTTAAGTCCATTTGTTTTTCTGAGTCTACCAATTCTAGATCTACCTCAATACCAGATGTTGATGATACCATCTAATTAATAAATTTAACCGACTGGCAGGTTTAAAAATTATGGCCCCATTGATTTGATGGGTCAGTTTGAAAAGCATTTGTCTATTGGTGCACATAACTTGTTCCCCAATGACAATGGTAGTTTTAGTTAGAAACTCCTTGCTTTGAGTCTGGAATTGTTCTAATATCGTCCTCCTAAAAATTACCTTCTTTTCTCCTCCAACTTTTCTTAGCAACTTACTCCTCACGATCCTGTTTTTTTGTTTGTTTGTTTGTTTTTGTTTTTGTTTTTTTCTTGATACGGAGTTTCACTCTATCACCCAGGCTGGAGTGCAGTGGTGCAATGCAATCTCAACTCACTGCAAACTCTGCCCCCCTGGGTTCAAGTGATTCTCCG